TCAGCCCTGCTATTTTTATTCCAACATAAAAAGTATATAATTAACTACAAAACTATAAGAAAGACAAAACAACAAAATGCCGTCTGAAATTGTCAAAGAAATATAAAACGTAAGTGCAAGTGCCGAGATAAAGGATTTGTTAGTCATGATTACAGACACATCAATATTTTTGATTAAATAAAATTGGTCAAGAACCATGAAAATTGAATGTTAAGCCTATAACTACAAGCTAAAGAAAAGCTAATAGACTAGCACCTGCTAAAATTTGGCCCAGAGATTAGCAAACATTTAAACGGACATGTCGAATGTAAAAGTACTGAGAGCGTTAGTTCATCACAGTTAACTAAAAATCCACCGCAACATAGTAAAGAAAAGGTAAACAAAAAGCTAACACCTAAAACAAACCTCAAAATTGATTATATTAAGAAGAATGTAAGAAATAGTGGGAAATAATAAAAACAGTGCTGGTAGAGCAGGAGAAATGAAATAAAAAAATGAATAAATCTAAATCTATCTATCTATCTTCTAGATGCTAATCAGATGAGCTAAAGTAAGAGCATTTAGGTAACAAGTTATTTTGTACCGTACAACTACATCCATATAATCAAAGGTGTAGGCACGATGTAGGCATCAAAATGTTAGTTCCCAGAAGTAGACGTTAGCCAGGAATAATATTAAAATGTATCTTATAGTATCCATCCATCCTGGATCTTATAGTATATATTTAATAAAAATTATTAAGAGCAGTAGAAGAATATAGAAACGTAGAATGTAGCAAAATAGCTAAAGACAGTTGCTAATATGGTCAAAGAAGCAGCAAAAAGCTAAAACTTTAAAGAAAACATATTCAATGATTACATTCACTTATGAGATTTATAATATAAACAATATATAATATGAAATAATATACTGGAATAAAATATCAAATGAATCAGACTTTGTTTCTGATTAATCCATTATGCAATTAACTTTATTGCCGTTGATTTTGATTCAGAGTACAATTAAAAACAATTAACAAACAAACAAAACACATGACATTTTCACATTGGCTTTTACAAAAATAAAAGCCTTATCAACAAGACACCATATTAATTAAATGAAATGATCATAAAAAAACACATGTAAAATTTATACAGTTCACTATGAAACATATAGACATGCAATAAATACATTAATTCGTTAAAGCAAAGTAAAATCAATATTGACATGGAAATGCACAGAAATACTGTTTGGTTATATGTATTGCTAGTTTTGCTTTTTAAAAAACACACATTTTTGCATTTTGAGGATCATTCGCTAAATGAAGATTTTTCTTCCTCTCATAAAAATGCAGACAGAGAGGAGAACTTTCTAGAAACCATAAATGGCCATAAATTAAAGCAACTTGAAACCAATCTGTGATTTTCTTTCAAACAAAGTCCATTCTTTTTCCTATGTGTAAATGTAGAAATCGCGCTGCCTCTCACTGGTGGTTTCTCTCCTTTTAACTAAGATGCATGATGTTTACTGTACAACTAATAGAATACACACTTAATTCACATGATCAGAGTATATACAGTACAGGGACCGACTGGGTGTAAGACTGGGTAAAAACATTGAGTTTGTTGACAGGTATTATATGGGCCTTGGTCAAATTACCTGGATGTGTATGAAAGTCCATTTGGAGCCACACGTCCACAGAGTCTTCTCTGTTTACATTCTCATCCAATATATGTATCAATACAACATTGTGAACTCTCCTATGCACAAGTGCCCTGGATATTATATGGCCATAATCACTGGTGGTAACAAAGAAGTTGTGTTGTGTAGCTCTGCAAAAAGAAGAGCCAAAAATCGAACACAACAGCATCTGTGATGAAGCTGGCTGAAAATGTAGAACCTTCATTTTGATGCTAAAGTAAAGTGGGCCACACAGGCCAGCTGANCCAATCAGTAGGCATCGGGCCACATATAGACCGCCTACATATTGGTAACCATAAGCATGCCCAGTCTGTGCCCATTAAGACCAAGTCAGACTAAGAATCCGAGTGAGTTCTACTGCTTCCAAAATGGTCATTTAAGCCATTGTACATTTGAATTACAACATTAGGACTGAAAAGAAGGAAGAAGAAAGACCTTGACTTGACCTGACCCACAAATATCACATCCTGCCCCCTGTTGACCATATGAAGACTAGGGTGGTTCCCGTGGTGGTTGGGGAGTAAATATTTATCTAAAAAGCACACTGACATTTACAGTGAAAATGAAAAAAGAAAAGAAAAAAAAGAATTCCAAGATCATTACAATATAATTGAGCTGAAGAAAACAAACATTAATATTTGACTAAACCAGGGCCCACACTCACTTGAACCATGTCATACATGTTAACGTTACTAGCATCATTGTGTACACACTCCCTCTCCTCCTAACATTATTCTCCCCTCTCCTGTATTTAATCTGCCCCAGTTTATAACGCTGCTCCATTGGCTGTGGGAGCAGAACTCAGTCATGAAACCATGTCTGTTGGGGGTTTGATCAAGACTCTAATAGAAAAAAGTAGCTTCTCTGCATAAACATTTAGACATCTGCCTTCTGAGGCATAGGAAACAGCTGGAAGTAAGTAGATCGGAGGAGGAGAGGAGAAGCGAACGGCCGAGGAGCCTGTGGGTCAGGTCTCAAGTTTAGTGTAAGCCGAGGAAAGTTTAGGCCAAGATCTGTGCTGGCAGGAGGAAGAGGAGGAGAAGGAGAAAGGGGAACTAAAGTGCCAGAAAAAAAAAGGCAATTGTGGGACTTCTAGGGGATTGTACCAGTAATAAATTTAGAGAAAAAAAAAATCACAATACAATGATTTTTCCAGAAAAGTAGAGTTCAGGGGAATATAACTGGAGCAGCTGCATGTAGTTAAGGTTTGTCTTGAAAGTGTAAAAGTCCCTGCCTTGTGCTCAACACTGCTACGCTATGGGAGAAGGCATTTAGACGTTTAAATACACAGGTGCACTCGGTCGGTTGGACAATGTTTTAAATCCAAATACGCACACACACACACTCCTACAAAATGTTCTGAAAATCTATTACATCTAACTGCTGGAAAAAAGTTGAAAAAGTCCTCAAAGATACTGACCGTCAAGTCACTCTAATCTAATGCACTTACCTCAAAGATACTGACTGTGTCAAGTCACTCTAATCTAATGCACTTAAAACAAACATCAACTGATTTTTTTTTTTACCTTTCTCTTTCACAACCACACTGGGTCTAAACACTGGGTCTAAGTCCCACACGATGCCCAACGAGGAATTTTGCATCCTGTTCTCACCACTTTTTCTCCTATAGGGTTTAGCACAGCTGTTTTTCATCTGGCCAGCCTGAGGCTGTCGCAATCAAAAGTGAAGGAAAGATTTTAAAGATATTGTGAAATTTCACAAAAACCATGGAGTCACAGATTTTTCCGTCATATTTTTACATATGTTTCCGCCGTGCCGTCTTATCTACACCAAATTTCACACATATTTCTGTCTCAGCCAGGACACAATTATATACGATTATTCGCTCAGAGTCACAGCCGCCCAGAGGAAATATACTTTACAAGGACAAACGTAGTTCAATACTGGTCCAGAACTTAACAAAACAGAGCCCTGCCTAACTGAGGACAGAAAACCAAAAGGAACTCTTTTTTTTTATAACATCCAGTTAAACTTGTGAATTTGACTAAAAAAAAAAACCCTTGTGGAGCCTCAGAAAAATGTTTTTTCTCTGGACCCTTAAATGTATTTTTGGATGCCTGCGCCTTTAGTTTGCATTGTTTTTTATATGTATTTCCAATGATAAGTGTCTGTAAAGATAACTGGGTCATTAGGATGTGCAGGTACGATGTGGGCATCTGATGGTTCTATACTAACTTATGGGCTTAGAGTCTAGTTGTGAGTCTAAGCTGGGAAGTTGTTAGCATAGTACAGCATAACCAGCATAAATATTCTCACTCAGCATTTGTATCGAGGACTCAAAGGGCAACTGGTCACCGATTACAGCCCACAGACATTTACATTTTCGTGGAATTGGGTCTGACATTGTGTGGTACTAACGCAGTAATGACATTTTCTTCTGTTCCAAAAAAAAAAAAAAAAAAAAAAATTCCAACATCTACTGTGAACCTAAGCACTGGGCAAAATATGTTTTTGATTCTACTTGTGGAGAACATGTGACCTTTTGACCCAAGAAGTATTGTGTCAAGCATGATGGCAACATTTAAATTTCACATGAGGGGAATATTGGCCAAATCTGAGAAATAATTTGCTTTTTTGTTCTAGGCTGACTGTGAGCCTATATGGACTAATATATTATTACTATAAAAATACTGTCAATGCTGAAGTGTTTGTGCCATGCTGTAATAATACATGCCAAACAGGTAAATTGTTTTTTGCTGTGATTATTTCCCTGGGCAAAAAACAAGCTTAAATGACATAATCCATGACGTCCATCCATGTACAACTCTACAGCCCGCTGTAACAACCATGTCAGAATGAGCAGAGGTTTGGTCCAACTCAACAAAAAGATCCCAGTCTGTGTCTGAATGGATGCTAACAAGGAAGCTAACAGGGTTTTATGGTCCAACAGTGGCTTCTGTCAACCTCACTGCTTGTTCACCTTTTCTACAGCCTCCTTCCTTTCTTCCTCTCCGTCTTCCTGTCTGCATCCTTCTGTATCTGCCCCCGACAGAAGCACGAGGCACAACCAACTCAACACAAGGCACTTCAGCTGCCAAAAGTTCACTTCCTGTTCCTCTGCTTTTCTCCTTTTCATTTCGGCCACCACTGTATCCCAGGACATCCATTTTGAGCCCCCTCCTTTGACACCCGACAGCAGAGAGGGACTCCTCGGAGAAGACACTTCCTCCTCCTGTAAACACCCTGACAGCCTTTTCCCTTTGTCTTTTCTTAGACCTTCCATACTTTTATTAAACCAGGTTGCTAACTTTGCAAACACTACAAAATGAATGTGTTTTCTTCTTCTTCCTCTCTTGCAGAGACTGGAAAAAGGCACAGTACGCGTTATGTGGGAAGGGCACAGATTTTGGAGGAGGCTGGTGAATCAACGGTGAGTGACCTGATTATAATTTAAACTACTGATATCAACTTGCTGGTTGGTCAGTAGTTTTAGGTACTTTTTTTTCGTGGTCATATCTTTCCTGCTCGAGGTCAATGCTATTATCTGAACTACAAGATGGGACATATTTGATATATAGGCCGTGATGCAGCTCTTTAAATAAGGTGTGTAGTTCATCCTAATAGTAAAAATGATTTTAGTGTCAGTTCAGCACTTGCTTTACGTGAGTATAATGTTAACGTAACAGTCAAAACCACTGTAGACCCAAGCGGTAGCTCTCACCCTGGGGGTCCCCAGAGTCCTAAGGGTCCACAGGCCATAATCAGGGCTCCACAAAATGTTTTGCAACAACATTAAATTGAGGCCTATTTTGAACTTGCGTTGTGAGAACGAGTGCCATCAATTCCAGTAAAAAAAAAACAAACAAAAAAAACATCCCAGTGGCCACGAAGACTGTGATACATTTGTGACATATTACGTGATGAGAGGACTGGTCAGTACTGTCAACCCATTTCCTATTAGTGAATTTATACAGTTTTATAAACAATGATCCAATTTTAAGAAAATCACCGAGTACAGCTTCCAAAGACAATACAACACAACATACAGTCTGTGTCTGTGTGTGTGTGTGTGTGTGTGTGAACACTGTGTGAGTGAGAGCTGAACTACTCAACAGGAGCCAGGATCTTAACACTGTAGATCCCACAGTTTTATTTGGAATAGATTCCCATGAGGTAAACATGTGTTTAGAAAGATGGACTGTGTATACCTAACCTATAATCTGTGTATATCTGGTTGCATCATTGGGGTATTTTAACATGGTTTACTCCAATGCTATGAAATTAAACAAGATCAGACGTCTACATTTGACTTACAATAAATAGCAGAAAATGTCCAGTTTAAAATATGGACGGATTTGCCATTGTAGAAATATTCAGGGGTGGAAATACTCAAAAAATACTATCAAACCCATTCCCTTTACAAAAATATTCAAGCGTTTGCTTTAATTGTACGAAAACACCAAGAACTTTAAAGGCCACAACACTATAAACACTCCACCACAAGTTGACATTGTATAACTTCCTTGTACTGGTTAATTACAATCACTAAATTTACATGAAGGAAATCAAAAGCTGTGTTTTGCCTCCTGGAGACCTTTGTTTAAACTGGCAGACAGGCCAGATTGTGAAAATGCCTGTTGAATACAAACACATGACGGTTCCAGCGAATTAAATTGCATAACCCAAATCAGCGGCCAATTTCATTGTCACTAAAAAGAGCTTACAAACATTGTCAAAAAATACATGAAGCATTACAAAATGAACAGATTTACCCTGTGTGTGTGTGTGTGTGTGTTTCCACGGTCTGACTCTAATCAAAGGTTTGATGACCTCAGGAGAAATGGGGATCAAACATTCTACAGGATTCTATACTTGACCACAAAAACCACTGCTGCTCTGTTTGGACAAGAAACCAGAGTATTATTATTAAAGGTTCAAAATACTACACTCTCTTACAGACATGGCAAAAAACAGCCCCATAATGCTAACCCCGATGTCATTCAGAAAAGTTCCTAAAACTCCAGTTCAGACTGCACACTGGTGAATGGTTGAATGGTCCTTTGTTTAAGACTTAGGAGAGTTCATTTGAAAATATATAATACACGGCCATAATACACTGTTTTTAAAACAGTGAATGTGTATTGAATATATAGCATAGTGTAGTATTTTAGGCAAGTGTGACCACCATGTTAGCTTTGGTTTCCATCCAGGGCTTTTGTCTTACAATTCTTAAAGCAAATAGTTTTATATTTCAAATTTAGAGAATCGAATGACATTTTTCAGCAAACGTTTTCTTTTCTTCTTTTTTTTACCAGCACTTTGTTGCTGTTGTGTTTTCTTCTGGCCACTAATACACACAATGTTTTTGACATGCAAAGAAAGCTACCGTATTTTCTTCCCAAACTTGGTGGAAGTGAAGTGTTAGCACACCTGTCCTTGCAGCCCTACCATTAGATGTCACTCATTCGGACATCCTTTTTCAGAGGAGGAATCCAGAGTGTGAGCTGTATATAAAGAATAGGCCTAAACCTTGTAGTTATAGATGAAGCGTGGGAGTCGCTTTGAAGTGGCTGGTTTCAGAGGAACATTAAAAACCAGGTCCCCAGTTCTATTAAGACAATTTGAAACCTTAACCCTACAACATCACAATATGCAAATCTCATTGCTTCCACATGAGGTGACTATGTCCATTTCTTCTATGCAAAAGTATAAGTCAATGTGCAAGAGTGACAAAAGTCTATTTGAGGAAAAACACAACTCATAAAGCATGTATGCCACATGGTACAAACAAACAAACAAAAAATAAACTGAAGAAACGCTGATAGCACTCTTTTTCCCTCTAGTACAAACAACTAATAAACACAGAAGAAAACCACAGGTTTAACACAGAACCACCGTAATGTTGATAGAAAATAAAAAATACAAATGATAAATGTGTGTGTCCCACAAAGCAAAACTGGTCACCGGGCCCACATGTATGAATCACTGTCATCCATGCACCAGATTTCAGCCAAAATTCAAACAAACAATGAATTATTAGAAACATTTGCTGAATCTATGGTTAAACCAAAGAGTTTCTGGGCCAACACAGGGCCTGTGTCAATTCTTAAGAGGTAATTTGTAACTGCATGTGGTCCACATTAAAAAGGTTGTGGGTTCCATTACAGGGCCAGACCAATTTTACTTTGAGGCATTATTCATCTGTGCATGTGTACATTGACATTTTTAGGTATGGGGTTTATTAAAGCATAGCATCCCCATGCTGGCATCAGTCCTGAGGTAAGCACCAGTTTTACATGTGCTGCTTTCATTTCAAATCTCAGAAACGTAGCATTTTGTCTTGATATGATCACATGCTACAGCCCTTAAATAACTGTTACATCAAATAGATTTGATCTCATAAGTGAGGCACACTTCTGTCTTTGTTTTTATAAGCCATTGAAGATTCACTACTTCTATCACAGTGTATTTATGGCTTTGGTCTTCACATTAACCCACTGAGGTTAGCATTGGCACATAGTGGTTAAACAAAGTGAAACAAAGACGAGCAAAATTGAAGAAACGTGAAAAACTCAATTTCAATGATTGAAATGGCAAAAGGAAAGCATGTCTTTGGACTGACAATCAAAAATGTGCCTTCACAACATCACGAGCTGTACGTGACTTTCTTTATAAGATGAAGGAAAAGACAATCCGCTGGAACAAGTACAAGATTTCTCTTTTAAAACATTTTCTAGACCAGTATGTAAAAAATCACAAGGGCAAATTTGTTAAGCTCAGATAAAAAGATTTTTGACAAGTAAAGTTAAAGTGCTTCAGGTACTCAGGTATTTGCACCAAACATTGTTGTGATTTGAAAGGTTTAACCCTTAGGTGGCCATAGACTTTAAATAAAGTTATTAAACAATCTCAGGATCCATTAATATGAATCAGTCAATATTTCTTGGGTATTTGGTTTCAGTTTTTCATCTAATAATAGACCAATGTTTTGTGCTCAAATACTCAAACTAAAAAACAATTTATTTTCTTTTAGTAAGTTGTATTATGTTTTAAAGGACATTTTTTCCCTATAAAAGACTTAAACTTTCTGCTGACTTCAAAAACTAGCACAGTCATCTGATTTCCTACAACTTTTGTCTTTAACAAACATCTGTAGACGTGACTGAATATAAAATGGAATAAGGCCATTACAATCATTATATGATTTTCAAAAGTACTTGAAAATTGAGAAGGCACAGATGTAATAGAGTTCCTTTGTTCCTGAGACAAGTACACACCCCAAGATCACCCTGCACACCTGATGCAATGTTGTTTTGGGGCCTGGTGGCAGACCACATACTTATAACACTTGGCCAATGTTACAACAGCACTTTTTTTTGGTTGTTTACTTCACATCATCTACTGCACATTTACCAAGGTATGGCTTCGAGTTCAACATTTTTCTGTTTGGGTCATTTGGATTTATCTGTCAGCTTGTCTAGCCGAGTATAGAACCAAAAGAGAGACCACTTTGGTTTTCCCAATACCAGTTTTCCAATGTACATAATCAGTCTATCTCAGATCAAAATTGTCAGTAACAGTAACACACACCTGACTGGTCCAACAGGGCCTGTGAAAGCCCACTCACTAGCATGGTCTAAAAAAGGGAAGAGACTGAAGCTGGTTGTGTTCTTTGCAGTAAACAAGACCACATCGCTACTCTGGTGTTAAACACCAGGAATGCACATGAAAAGAAAATTATATACTTTATATTTTCACATCCATTAGAGTCCAAATGAGCTGGTTTTATTGAATAAAAGTTCCAACGTGGCCTGGACACAAAGAATCTTGAAACTTGTCCTCCTCCTATATGGTTATTTTCATATCTTGAGTACACACATACGAAGACAGGTAATGGTACACAGATTTTGGGTCTGAATGCAGGTTACCTTGTAAAAATCTCTTTTTGAATTTACAAAAATAAATTAAATGATTTGATTTTAAATCATCATTTGGCTCAATAGCTGAAAAGCAAAAAGAAAAGAAATGAAAAAAAAAGAAAATATTATTGCAAACACTATTTATAAATACTGTAATGTGCATGAGTGTCTCTTGGTCACTGAATAATACAGAACCCTGCTCTTTATTACAAAGAAGGATTTATGATAGAAGAAGAAAGGCACTTGACCGTTTGGTTTTTCTTTGGGTTTTCACTGGCATTGGCCACGGTCATTTTGCCAGAGTTTGAGGTGCAGAAGACATGAGATGAGGTGAATGGCTTTTGAATACTGAAAGTTGGTTGCATATTTGAGTGTAAGTGCACACTGACCTAGCAAGTATACATGACAGATAATGTAAGCTACATTCATTTTACAGATTTGTTTAAAATCCTAAATTTGGATACATCTGGTATTCCATAATTGAAAGTCAGATGTTTATCATACTATTAAAAAACAAGTGTGAAAGAAGGGTTAACTACCTCCTGAATTGTTCTCATAGTCCAAACTAAAGAACTAAAGAAATTTCCTGAAAAAAATTACTGCTAAAACTTAAATTTCCTGAAAAAAATTACTGCTAAAGAGTAAATGATTATCTAGATGTAGATCTAGGAAACGTGTTTGCGTGAATGTAGCTTTAGCTGGATGAGTAGTTATCTAGATGTAGATCTGGGAAACGTGTTTGGGTGAATGTAGCTTTAGCTGGATGAGTAGTGGTCAATGGTGCGCGATTCCGACAGGGCCTGCGTTGGATGTGGCAGTGGTTGGGTCAGGACTTCCATCTTCTCATGTTGAAGGTTCAGGTGCTCCGAAGCCAGTTTGGACAGTGGGTAAAGGCTATCCATGACCTTTGCCTCGGCCACCAGCTGTTGCTGAGCCTGGATAAGAAGTTCATTGGCCTTCTCTTGCTTCAGCCCCAGGTGCTCCGCTGTGTATTTACTTAAAGGATAGATGCCCTCAGCAAAGTCCAGCTTCAGCTTCCCGTCTACTGTCAGGCCCCCCGTTGTGCCTCCAGTGCTGTGCATCTTCATGTGGCTGATGAGGTTGCGCTGCTGTGCGAACTTTCCTCCACAAACCTGACATTCATATGGCTTTTCTCCAGAGTGGATGCGCATGTGCTCAGTGAGGCGATACTGGCGAGTAAATCGCATACCACAAGAGTCGCATGCAAAGGGTTTAAGCCCCAAGTGGCTTCGCATATGCCGCGTCATGGTGCCGCGCTGTGTGAACTTCTTGCCACAGATGCTGCAAGGATAGGGCCTCGTCAGCCAGTGGGTCTTCTCATGCTGCCGTAATGTGGCTGGGTCTTTGTAAGTTTTTTCGCAGGATGAACAGCGATAGGGTCGTATCATGTCCCCAATACCTCCAGAGCTCAGTCTGGACTTGGACTCCAGATGAGACATGTTGTTTAAACTGTTGCTGCTGTTCAGGCTCCCGTAGCTGTTTGTATTGTTGCTCATGTTTTTTAAGTTATTGCTGTTGTTGCTATTCACAGTCTCTCCTCCAGGGTTGCCATACAGCTCCTCTTCGGTGTGGGTCTCTACATGTGCATTTAGCTGTTCTGAACTAGGGAAGCCTTTGTCACAAGGAATGCAGACATAGAGGTTATCGCCAAAGCTCTCGGGCTCAAACGGCATGTGAAACCTCCCCATCGCTCCAGGAGGGGAGGGTCGTCCTTCGCTGCTGCCAGTTTCCTCTGTGCCTGAAACGCTCTTGTCATCAGCCCCCTCACTTTCCTCACCAACCTTGTGGTGGTTGTGATGCTGGCCACCATTATCATTCCCCTCCTCATCATCATCATCCTCATCCTCATCTTCAACTGTGTACAGTGGTTCATGCTTCACCCAACGATAGATGTTGCCCATCTCCCTGCCTGCTTCTCCACCCTCTGTGGGAGTGTCAGGGCTAAGGGGACATGGATAGCGGTCAGTGCCTTGGGAACCTGAGCGTTGCAGGTGGGGAAGATTCGACCCAAGAGGCTGATTGAGATGGGGAAATGGGGGAGGGGTGATTGCAGTATTCTGATCAGCTGATTCAATCTTTTCAGAAGGGAAAGGTCTTCCATTGGCCCCTTGTATGGGACTTGTGCGGTTGTTCAGAATCATGTCTTGCTCCTCTTTGTTATGAGTGTTGGGCAGATGGGTATGAGAGGGTGTGTGATGGGATTGAGAATTGGGGCTTTTCTTTGAAAGATCAAGGCCATAGTTGGGCGAACAGTTCCTTTCAGGATTAGCTGAACGCCCGAGCTGGGCAGGCAGAGATGACTGCAAGGAAGGAAAAACTTGTGAACCCTGAATGGTAGAGGGGGGAGCGTACAACTCCCCAGCATGAATGCCCAACCGATGTGGCACAATGTCTTCAATTGGAGGTGGTCGATTGGCATGGCTGTTCAAGATCCCTCCTGGAGGGCAGGGTTGAATGACAGGGGTAGATATCCTGTACCTGCCTCCACTCCCTATCCCCAAACTATTGGGTCCCATCTTTGAGTAGGGTAGAAAAGCTGGTCCATGACGTGGCAGATACTTGCCCTGTCTTTTCAGTTTCTTTTTGCACAGAGCCACTAAGTCGAGGAGCTGGAGGTAACTAGCTGCTGCCAGGACAGCACCAAGATTTGGTTCATTTGGAGAGGTGGGGTCTCCATCTGCAAGGCGTCCAGTATAAATGTAGTCCAGAATGATCCTAAAGATCCCTGGACTCACCATTTCATGGTCAAGGTTGATAAGATTGTCATGAACCACCAGCGATTTCAAATATAGGCTGCTGGCTGCCAGAATGTTCTTGTGGGCTCTGAACAGGGCATTCTGAACAACAATGATGACATCACACAAGAAGCCCTTGGTACGTTGGGTGTTGAGCTGTAGGAGGAGATCCCTAGCATGACTTGGCATTTCCATGGCATCCAGCATCGTCTTCAGTCCGTCAGCTGCAGGGAGAGATAAAGTAAAATCTAATATATTATATGAACTCTGAAATTTGTAAGATAGTGGAGAGACATACGCCAGCATTCTGTATGCATATGTGTGAATTTAGAGAACTGATAAATAGTAATTGATTTTCAGAAAAACATAAATGAGATTGCACAGGAACATTGGGCTCTTACATGATTAACAATGTTGATAAGTGTTCCTACAACATCTGTACAACATCTGATCAAGCCCACAATTGCAAACCAATCCAGACCAAACCAAACCAGCATCGTGGACAACGCAATTGACAGTTCATTAAATCTTAACCCAATTTGGCCCACAACTTAGAGTGCATTTTAAATTGTGGCTCCTTGTATGATTTAGTTAATTGATGGTAGGGTGTCTAGCATGTTTTGGATTGTGAAAGAAAAAACACACAAGCACATGGGCACAACATGCAAGTTACCTCATGTGTCACTGGACTAAACCCGTGATAGTCTAAGTGTAAGACTAATACACTTGCCACATGTTCCACCACATGCCTCCCACTCTCTCCCCCTGCAATTTTTTTTATAATAGAAATTGCAAGTAAGAAAAGCGATACATAACTAAAAGATAGCTGAAAAACTTAAAGGAAAGAAAAACATTAACCATAAAAGCCACACAAAACATATTTAAAACATTGAAACGTAGCAAATTCCTAAAGTTAGCTGATCTTGCAAAAATGTATTAAAGTTAAATGCTCAAACATATCAAGCTAACAAGTATTTAAAAGCAGCTACCAAAAGACGTCAACTTGACTGTGAATTTTTTTGTTTGTATACACATGATAAACACTTTAAGGAATTGAAAACTGTTCCTCCTATTGCATTGATTGTATTGCCTTTATAGAGCCAGCAAGGACCACAGACTGTCCATATAACATGACAAAGTAATGCTGTTAATAATGATACTTTAGGAGTTAGTCCAAAATGTTCCTCTGGTTTCAAATGTAACATAGCATTTATAAAGTCTAGGTCAACTCATGCAACGTTTTGTAAAGCTAAGCTAATTCTCCCTCCATTTATAACATTATGACAATGGATAGGTATAAATCTACACCTCCTATATGTGTCCCTGAAAATAAAGAGAAGATAGACAGAGAAAATAGAACACAAAAATAGAACACAGTTCTATTCAAAGTTGACTGTGATTGGCCACAGCAAGTGATGACAGGTGGGTTGTCTAATAGGACAGTTCACCATAGTCAATAATGAACGGCGCTGTCGTCATTCTTCTGCATAATCCTGCAATTGTGTGTATTCATATTCAGTCTAGTGACAATTCCCCATCCCCATTGATTATAGACCTGTAAGATGTGGAGACCCAGGAGCCACTCAGAGTAGCTGCTCTGCCAGCTCAAAACCACCATCTTTAAAAGGAATCTGGACAACAATCTTCTTTTTGTTAAAAATCTCTTTCTTTGTTTGCCACCACTTGACAATCAATCACTACCAACCCTCACAGCCATTTATGTATATACTGTATTTTGAAAAATATATACATATATGAAAAAACTCAGGACAGCCAAGTATGTCCACAGACAGTCTAAGGGTTGCACACCCTCTATTAAAGACCTCTGACCTACAGTACAGGCATATCTAGACCATTACCTTATTTTATTCATTTATTGTGAAATGTTTTGCTAGATCTGAACTACCAAACTTCAGGACTATTTTGATCATTAACTAGATGGTTTTCCGCGTAACATGCTGGTTTTGGTGCTTCGTCATATATTCATCTATTCAGGATAACACTAAACTGACATTCTTTCGTAAAACGGCAGAAAACAAAACATCCAAAGTTATAAATAGTATTTTGATGCAACTCTTTCTGGTCACCCTACTATTCTCGTAAACAATACGTGAGAAATGACTCAGCATATTTCTCTGTAACTCACTGTACTTTCATAGAAATAATGATAATGTGTATATAAGTTGAAGATTTAGGGTTGTTGAAATTGTTTGTAGGCCAAATATGTTTACCTTGTAGATAACATCTCATTAAGCTGCAGGGGAAATTGTAGAAATTATCTGTGTTGTTGTTTTTTTAAAGTTTGGCAAACACTGACTTTAAGTCTTTATTTTATTTTATCTCCTTCAGTTCCATGTGCCATCAGTCAGGTTTGCCCTATATAACCATCTGAAGCTTTACTCCGTGTTGTCACTACTGAGGTTTCAGGAGGTTGGACAGAGGAGAGTGAACTTCCTACATCCCTCTACCGTCAGTCTCACTCTCATAAACACTAGAACATCTGCTTAAAAAATCTCACCAAAGTTTTCTTCACGTCTTCTTGCGTTCTAAAAACCATTTAACCATGTTCACATCCTTCCACATGCTTCAGCAGAAAAGCAGTCAAAAAAATCTTTAGGCCTTTACAACGCTTCAGCAAAAGCGCATCTTCCTGTGTCAGTGTAATGATCGAAAAAAAGAGATGCCTCTCCCATCACACCAGTTAACCGTACGGTCGAGAGAACCAACACATATGTCATCTAACACACTAGTATAAAAGCTAAACTAAGCCACTTTATCTAACCAAAGCCACTTCCTCTACATATAAAACCATCAGCTCTTCTTTGTACAATATTTGTTAGTCCGACCTGAATACATGAGGTTATTTTAAGACTAACGCACTGCCCCAGCACTGGGGAGAATCAATTGATTAGTCATCAATAAAAGGAGAAAGGCAGCTGTTAAGTTTATGTTAGCTGACTGTTGCAACCAGGAGCTGTGTCTTTCAGATGTCATTCTATTTTGGTCTCTTTGTTATTATTATAATTACGATTATTATAATTATTTAAATACTTTCTTTCAATTTCTACATCTTTTTCTGGCATTTATTAATTGCACATCCTTTTAGACAGAAAGATCAAACACAAACTAAAAATAAAACCATCTATGGACCAACCAACAGAGAAATTCATTTGTAATGATAATACTGGCGAGTTATAGCACTAATAAGCACTTCCAAATGTATGTTTGAGGGCAAAAAGGCATAAAATTTGATAAAGATTTCTTCCTTAAAAAAAACCCCAAAACATCAGTACAAAACAGAAATAAGAGCTCTTTCTGTGCTTCTTGGCTTCTTCCCAATAGAAACATATTTTAGACGTGGATTTGAAATTTCTTTCATTTCTGATATTAAATGCTGATAAATGTAAAAACAAATATTTTTGTCCTTACATTTAAAACGTCAGACAAAAATTAATACGATTTGGGTGAAATTGACTGACGTAGACAATATCGATATGACGTTAGTGAGCAGTGATATGTGTTTGATAAAAACCCGTTAAATGCCACTGCTGACAAAGACGTGTCGATAATGATCGTTTACGTGTACGTGCCTACGCAACAACTTTTTTACACTGGAAAGACTTTGATCACTTTTGGACATTTTAACAAATTGTCCCTGACTAATTATTCGTGGTGACGTTTGTACTCTACTTTAATGTGAAGTATGTTGTAATCTGTGAATTAACATCCTAATTATTCACGTGAAGATGCGACGTTGATTTTAACGCGCTCCTCAGTCACAGTCACTTGCTGTCCAGAGTCGCGATGCTGACCTCCTCTGCCTCTGAGGCCGTGTTCTCTGTCACTTCAGGTGTTCCGGCACCAGCATTTACCCCCAGTCCGTTGCCCCCCGTGTCTGCCTCTACTGTTATTTACCTCAGTGCGCGCGGCGTGCACGGAGCTCCTAAATCACCTCCAGAGAGTCAGCGGCAACAGCGCTTTCACAGCGCAGCTGTTTCTTATAGCAGCCTGTCAGCAACAGCTTCATAAAATCCTTTACTAAAAAATAATGAGAATTTCACAAACTAAAATAAATCCTAAAATAATATTTTTTCTAATTTGATCTTCTTTAGTGCATGTTTTATTCCCGTAACTTTACGCCTGAAAAGGAGCCGAATGAAACATGCAGTCATCATTTTATAGAACTTTCTTCTTTTATACAGCTTTTCTGTTCTGACTACCATTCCTTTTTAATACCAGTCAAGTGGTTCCTTCATGGTTTTACACCTAACACGAGGAAAAAACGTCACAAAAACATGTGATGCTCAGAAAATTCACAAATAACAATTTTGTAGCTGCACAAACTCAAACCTACACAACACTGTCTCGAAGTTTCTACTGATTCAATTCAAAGTAAAACGAAAATTAAAGTGATCTAGAAAAAAAACAGACAAAGTTCTGCATTTGTTAAAATCTAAAATTTTATTATTTCTAGGGAGATTGCAATGAATAATGTAAGGCTCTTCGTAACTGCTGCCATATTTTTTATTACATAAAAAGTTGATTTTGATTGATTGACTGATGTTTTCCATGAGGCTTTTATCGGTTAATTAGAACTAATCGATAAAAAGAACATTTTCAAAATGTATTCGGTCGTCAAAATCAACCGCCAGTTGAAGCTCACAGTGCATTTTAACGGGGAAACCACAAGAACCATAAAACGACAACGACAAAATAAAATAATAACGAGTGAAACATCCTAACGACGTCGAACCAGAAATTGAATTCATGAAAAGTTCAAGGCATTTTGTGATTTAAAAAAAAAAACCGAAAATGTGTCATTTTGACCATTCCTATTCCGTAGCTAAAATGTTGCCAACGTCATTAATAATTTTATTAATATTAATCTTGAATATACGGGTAAAATAAAGAAAATGTGTTGAACTGCAAACAAACAACAAATTAATTTAAATTGACAAAAGCTTAAAAGGTAGATGAACACCTGCAGCATCTCTTACGGTTGGTTTTGCGTTATTATCTGTGACGGTATAAATGGTTAAAGCCCGTGGGACAGTAGCAGAAGAAGCTATTAGCATGTTTAGGTGGGCGTAAATAAATACAGAAACATAGAAATCATCTTTTTGGGGGGGTAAGAGCGACTGTAATTTCAGCTTGTGTTATTTTTGGGTGGGTAAATAAAACTTAGGCGTGATCAGCAGCAGCAGCAGCTTTTGAGCTCTGGCTTCTGCGTTTTCACTACAGTGACATATACCTGAGAACGAGCCGCGGAGGTTAACAGTTGAACTGCGGCCGTTTATGATTTTATGTGTGTTTCTGTTTCTTTAGGGGTCGGGGGGGTCGGACTGATAAACCGGATTAGCGTCAGCATCCACAGATGTCAGACGACGTCCGTGAGCGTCTTCAAGACAAAATAATACATCTGATTAAAATTTCGTCTCTATCACGATCTGCAGCTGAAATCTATTTTCTGCTATTGTCCGTGCGTAAATGGACCAGAGCAGTGAGACAGCAGCGGTGATTAAATGAAGTCTGAGTGAACGGGAGTTAAATCATTAGCATCAGCTGCAGCAGCAGTTCCGAAAACATAAATCGTTCCAAAGAAAATGAACCGATTGAGAGAAAAAAAAAAGCTCTAATCGTTTGGTTTCCTAGTGACTAAACGACTGAAACCGGATAACCGAGAGTAACAGGACAGGTTTAATGTTATGGAATGGATAAAATAAAATAAAAAAAATCAATATCATTAGCAGTAACGGCTCTACAAGTTTTCGGTTTTTTGAGTTTACAAACGGACATAAAACGTCATTTCTTTTATCAAAAGCTGACAAATTTTGATTGTATTGAATTTTCGTGCGTAAAATCCTAAGTGTAGGAACCCACAGGGCAAAGTCCTACCTGCATGCCCGGTGTCCTCTGCCATCAGATGGTCTAAGTCTCCCTCAATGATCATCTCAGCAGCAGCACAGTCATATCTGACTTCCTCAGCTCTTAACTGCCAGCCTCCAACAAAAACCATGCCAGTTTCCCGTGCACCTCTGCCAGCAGCCTCCCTTTCTCTTTTTTCTCCTCTCTTAAAGATGATTATTAATTGATATGAATTACTTGTCGCTGCTTCAGGTCCGTCCTCCAAACTCCTTCGACGCCCACCCTCCCTCTCGCCTGCTCTCTCTGCTCCTCCCCTCTTCTTTCTCCCCTCCTATTCTATTAAAAATCACTCCTTTCAGAACAGTATTGTGTTTTTTTAAACCACTGCTTCTTGTTTCATTTGCAAAAACCACTGTTTCAACAATGCAGCAATAAGACAGCGTTTACTAATAAGACTCCGTGACACTGGATTGATTTAGCTGACACGCGCGTGCGCGTGTCCGTGCTACGCTTCGACGTTAGTCTATTAAAAACTGAAAGGTAAAGTTGAGGGCAGGAACTGACCCCGACATGAACTCCCGCATACGTCATCTTAAAGAGACACCTCCGATTTCCACGCAGACTTTTTGTGTTTGTTAAATTTCAACCTTTTTCAAATATTTAAGAATGTATTTCTACAGAGCAAATGGCGCACTAGATTAATTAGAGAAGTTTATATCGTTTAAATCTCTCAGAGATACAAAATTTGTAACGTTAAATAGCAAAAATAATGGTAATTTATAACGTTTAATTGCGAAATAATGGCCTATACACACCTTTAAAAAGGTAAAATAATGAATTTATATTTATTGTATTATACGGTATTATTTGTTATTGCAATTTTTATTTTTGATTAGAAACCAAATTTAGCGATGTGTAAAGCTATTTTGTCCCTGCAATTAATTAGGGTTTAGTGTCCATAAAAACAAAATAACTTAATTAAGTAAAATAATTACTACCCAGGAAATCAGTAAAAGAATACACAAGATATTAAAATGTTTTTTTTAATGCTTTAATGTTTTTTGTTTAGTTTTAAGTTCAATACCATTCATGTAGTATAGAACAAAACTGGCAGAGAAAATATTCCAAAATCTAAAGAAAGAAAACAAATACAAGATGTGTTTTACGAGCCTGTAATGACTAACCAGTCAGGAGTGAGTGAGTTGTGTGGGGGGGGGTTGAGGGGGAGAGGGAAACATTGTGTCAAAAACACTTGCTACACATAAATGGACTGGAAGTTGCAGAAAGGGAAAGAAAGGAGAAAAGGAGGTGCACAAAAGCGTGATTTTCTGGAAGAGGTCACGTCTTCTGTCCAGTAAGTGATACAGTAACAATCAGATGAGGTCAAAATATTGACAAATATCATTGGTTTATAGGTAACACTAATTAAAACAAACAAACACAAAATCCACAGATTGATGTCCCAACTATAAGTTAGAGGTAGATCTGAACAAATTTGAAAAATATGTTGATTAAAATGTTAGAGACCAGAAACAAAGTGAAAAAGTTCATCAAAAATAATAATGTAGACCTTAAATACCACTTATTTTACTGATAGTTAAACAAGAACAAACTGAAAAGGAGCAAATCCTTTAAATGTCTCTTTTATAAGTGACCAGTGGTTTATTTCTCTACTGTATAAATATGCATATATGTAATTAGTAACATCTCACTGATTGTAGGTGTTTTTCAAGTGGGTGTTTTTAATAATAGTGTTTCATTTTTACAAGAAACGCAGTGATTCAAGTAATGACAGGAGGAGGGAGTGGGAAGTGTGTTATTAACCAAATTAAACACAACACCAAACCCAACACTGCTGGATAAGTATTTTATAAATGTATAATTACCTTGAGAGTAACCACATGTACTGCTGTTTCTATTAACACCAATTCTCCAACAGTCAGAAGCAGTCTGTACTTGAAGTTTAGTGTTAGACACCTGCAGCTCGGGGGTCTTTTTTGTCCTCTAGTGGGGGATTTAACTGCAGCTTTTACGTTTTACTGGTGTTTTAATATCTTTATTTTATTTTTATATTTTAAGTTTTAGATTTTTTTACTACCTGACACTGGACAAAAAATAAAACCAAAATCTGTGAGTTTTTACCAGGCATCATACTCAGGTTTCTGCTCGAAAATGACAAAAAAAAAAAGATCATTATTCCTGTTTGTGTTGTGCATCATCAACACTTGGAAGATTGCATCAGTCGTGTGAGCATCACAGCAGATAAGGTTCAGGTTGAACTTTATTGATTCCCGCACTGGGAAAATTATGGTGTTGATAAGAAGCACAGGAGACAGAGGCAAAGGGTGAACAAAAATAATTCACAAATTTCACAACATTACCAGATATCATTGTGTTACCGCACATGAGGACGGGCCAAAGAAAAGATCAGGGATGAAGGATCTTTTTCTCGCATTCTCTATTTTTGCATTTTATTGTATATGAGCCATAATATTCTGATGAAGACCAACGGTACAGACGTTTTAGTGCTGATAGGTGGGAAGGTCTGGCACATTTCGGAAACACCTATAAATTTTTTTTTTTAATTTCCAAAATCACATTTCACTGAAAACTGTGTGAAAGAAATACAGTTGTACAGAGAGATTAAGAGAAGAGTGTGTTGACGTTGACTCAGACCAGGGCACACCCCTGCTGGGCACACTCGTGACACTAGTCACATTCTATGGAATCACTCCTATACAAAAAAATGCTGCAACCTTTCAGGGTCTGTTTTTTTCTGGTTTTAAGGGAGGCTTTATTTTATTAAAAAATGTAGATTATTTTCCTATTTTCTTAAAATCAGAAGGAAGTGGTCTTTTAGTAAACATCATAACAATGTTCTGTTTCTGAGGGTTTTTTTACCAGGGCATTTTTAAAGATATTGGACACATATTTGGATTATTAATGGGTATTATGGAAAAACTATGAAACTTTATAGTTTTTAGGTTAACTGGGTAGGCAATGCTATACAGGCAGCAAAGCATTGTGTCACCTCATGACTTGATGTCATGAAGTGTGTATGTGTGAACTCAACCCAACCTAATTGAGGACAGTGCTAACAGAGAGTTTGACTTTTTCTTCATTAATAAATGATAAGATAAGATAAAATAAAGTGAAGCAAGAAAAAAGGAAATATAAATTTCACAGTCTGACTATATTCAATATTCAAAAAAGTGACAATGCAAAGAGTAAGTTATGGACATTGAAAATGTTCATTTGATTAAATGATTAACATTTATGGCACCATGGTTCCTCTGGGTTAAACAGTCTGATGGCTGATGGGAGGAAAGACCTCTGGAAACGTTCCACTCTGCACTGTGATTGCAGCAGCCTGAAAGAGCTGCTCAGCGCTGCCACAGTTTTGTCCAGAGGAGGAGAGGGATTGTCAGTGATGGATTTTAGCTGGGCTAGAATCCTCCTCTCACCTTCTCTAAGGGACAGTTTATGACCGAGCGGACTCTACTAACCAGCTTCTCCAGTCGATTTCTGTCTTGAACTGTTAGTCCACTCCCTGGGTAGATGATGGCGTAGGGTGAAGTTCTGAGGAGTGTCTCCACAAAAGATAGGAGTCGACTATAACCCTTTGTGGACAGGTCATGTGTGTTTGTGGTCCAGTCCAGTTTATTGTTCAGGTCAACACCCAGGTACCTTTATGTTGCTGCCCCGGAAGTCAGTGGAAACTGATTTGTATTCCATGTCGTCCCCATCAGATACACGGCCACCATAGGTGTATCAATCAAGAACTTTTATAAGTGACAGCGGTCGGTGTTTTTGAAATAGCCTAGATTTTTAAGCAATAGCTAACAAGAAAGAACGGACCTTAGGTTAACCTAGTTGTATATAAACATTTTAGTAAGGATTTAAGTTTTTACATTGATCCTAGAAACAGCTGAAGTTTTTACATTTGTCCCGAATGCAGGACTTTGGACGTGATGTTTAACGGTTTTAGAATTTCTTAGTGTTCAGATGTCTTTTTAGTCTTTTCTTTTCCTTCAGAAAAGAATAATATACATGTGTACACACAAACGGAATCACAAGCATGGGCCTCCCCTAGTTCACTGTACTGACTGGTTTTAGGTGACAACTTCATGGTGCAGGCACTGGAGACATGTGCCTGGATGGAGCTACATTTGGTTGCTAATTCCAGTTCACCCATCTGCTGCTGATGAACAATTATCACGCTATGATGAGATCCACATCCAATCTCTCTTTTTTTTCAAATGGAAACACATTAATGCAAACCAGTCTGCGGTTTTGACAACCCATCATAATATAGCATGTTTTATTTCCTCAAATATTTTCCCTCTGGGGCTGCCCTCTCATGGCTGGTGTCTGAGGTTGTTTTCCAAGCATAATCTTTTTTAAAAAATAGCTCCGTTAAGTGTTCAGGGGCAGAGTTTAGGCACCAAACACAGAGGCTACTAAGTAATATACATCTTAATAAGTCTGAGCTGTCTTAGGTACAGGAAGAACTCTCCAGCAGATCCAGGTATTTAAAAACTTAGCAGAAAGCTCGGCTTTAGGTTATATTTTTAATCAGCTATACCAGGTGAATTTTGTGCAGGATTTATCCCTAGTACAGTGCTCAGTAAATACAGTTCTAACACAGTACTTGGAGCACAGTAAGAACAGTTCAAACTCATGGAGGATTTAGCACAGTAAGAACAGTTCAAACTCATGGGTTAGGTGTCATGCAGCTTTCCAGTCGGCATTTGGCCACTCCTCATCCTCTGACCACTGACCATCACAACAGACAGTGACCTTCATTAAACAGTCCCCAGGGGTGAGTTACTCACCCAATTTTCACTCTGATTTTCAGCACTCAAAATTAAGTAAAATGTGATTTTATTGGCTAATGAAATTGGTACGTGCTTGTCAGAAAGCAGTCATCTGTTCTGCACATGCAGGGGTTCTGCAGCCTCCACTCTCTTCATTACCCTTATACAGAGCAGCCGCTGACTTTCAACCCTTCATCCCCTCCTTGTTTTTCTCTCCCTCTTTCTTCTTTTCTCCTTCTTGCCCACTAACTGTACAAACACGAGTGGAAGCGTAAACCAAATCTTTTTTCTTTCTCTCCTTCATTTCCCTTTTCTGCACTTAATTGACTGGATTTTTTTTCAGTCATCTGAACACAGCCATATGGTGTGTGACATGAGGATGAGAAGCCCAGACAAGGAAAAAGACAAAGAGACACAGCAGAGCATGAGAGTGATTGGCTGACTCGGCCTCAGAGCAGTGATGTCAGCATGAAGGCATT